ATTTAAACTCTTTAGCACAATGCTATAAACTGACTTGGGTTCTCCCCAGCCCCATATTTGTATGTTGAATCCTTAAATCCCCAGTGTGATTGTATTTGGAGATAGGGGCCATAAGGAGGTAATTAAGAATTAAGAATAAATGAGAACATAAGGGTGGGGCCCTGATCCATTAGGATTAGTGTCCTAAAGGAAGAGATACTAAAGTTCTCCTTCTCATTCTCCCTCTATAATTTGATTGTTATTGTCTTCTCTAGATTAACCTATCACCCTTCCACTCAGATATTGTCTATCCTATCACATATCACCCCCTCCATTTCACAGAATCACCATATTGCCTCTGGGCCATGATCGTTTGGTGTGTCTGCAATGCCTATCTCCTCCTTGTGAGTCTGGCTAACTCCTACTCTTTCTTCCAAATTGAACCAGATGGATCAGTCAACCTTCTTATGTACTTGCATGATATCTAATGACCTCATCTATCATAAAAGTTATCATGCTGTACAGCAATGACCCATTTCCTTGTCTCTTTCCTAAAGAATTCTTAGGAAAGTGGCCACTTTTTAAGCCTCTGAATCCCTCTCTGCCTATTAAGAACATATTGAATATCTGCATATTTTAATGATAACATTTTTAGGTTAGAGAACACTAGATATAGACCAGACAATCTTCTCTGTCATTTGTCAGCTGTAGCTCTTAAAAATTATCTCTATTTCTCTTTGTATAAATGTCCTTCTCCGTCAAATTACAACAATGATGCTAAGTTGCAGATTGTTGAAAGATTCATTGTAAAACTGTTAATGATTATGGATAACATGTAAAAAATACTCATTGAAAGCTGGGTGGTTCCAAAAAATACCTAACCATCCTTCAATGGTCAACTCAATTGTACATGTGCAATGAAGCCTGTATAAAGATCCATAGATAAAGATCCATAGATAAAATTGATTGTTCCCTCTCCTCTCCTTTTGCAGACTTTGTTTTTAGCTCAGTTGTAGCATTGATCAACATTAGAGTGACTTATACATTTATCTGATTCATCTCCCCTGGTTATAAGACCTGGTGGGAAGGAACCGGTATTTTCAATCTGCAGTATTGGCATGTACTCTATGAGAAAGACAATAATGAAATAGGTTCTGTGTATTGTGCTATATTGTCTCTAATAGATTTTAGACTTTTTAGAATATTCCTCACAATTTCTTTGTTTTTAATTGTTATATAATTGACTTATAATGTTATATTAGTTTCAAGTATACAACATAATGATTCGATATATGCACATATTGTAAAATTATTACCACAGTAAGTCTAGTTAACATCCATTTCCACACGATGACAGTTGTTTTTCTTGTGATGAAAATTTTTAAGGTCTACTCTCTTAGCAACTTTCAATTCATCAATCATTTTTCAAATGTCAACTAGAGCTGCTCAATTTGCCCCAATCTTCCCATTTCTGAGTTATTTTGCCTTTAATTAATTGGAGTTGACCTATAGGCTATAAATCCTTGCTAAGGGTTCATTTTGGCTTTAAGTGGGATTTGAACTCAAATATGAGATGGATTTTGCCAGTCCAGCCTCCTCCAAGCGTCTGGCCTCCTTGTAGGGCCCCCTATTGTCTGCACCTAACAAGAAGCCAGATGGGAAAGAAGAAACGCTATCAGTGGAGTCCCCACCACAGCATTATAACACACAACATAAAGAGGTGTTAGCTGAGAGGCAATTGCCTATTAACTGCCACACTGATAATTAATAATGAAAGTTAATGAACCTTTTATATCGCATACTCTCATAGCTGGTTCAATGACAATCCAATGCTTTCCATCCACGAATGAGTGAAGCTTTCATTGGTGTTGTCCTAGTTGGGGGATGTTAAACACCAGCCAATTTTCATATCAAGCAGGTAGGGGTCTTGCTTCTAAAGAAAAGTGCATGGTCTCCAAAATGGGTTTAAGAGTTTATCTTTAAAGAAACTACTTTAAAATAAAAGAAGAAGCTAGGAATAAGGAAAGAAGTCTGGAAAGTACAATTAAGTCCTGGGGAGATTGGATTTCGGCTGCTTGATGGCACAAGTGGTGTGAATTCCAGCATAAGTGCCATTCCAGAATGAAAAACGACACTTGGGCCAGAAAACTGACTGGTGCTAAAGTTTCTCTAATTAGTACAGTACTGAGTGCTGGGGGACAGCCCTGACAATGAAGCGTGTCAGTTTGATAAATGAATTACTAGCACTATTCTGCTGACTCCCGGACACAACGCTCAAGGTGGCCTCGGCTAGTAAACAGGGGTGGAAAACACATCCTCACACAGTTGCTTCATGCCCGAAAAACAAGTAATTTAGCAGAAGACAGCTGGACACAAATTTTGAACAGAGCTCAGAGCCCATCAAAACATGGATTTCATGGCTTGGCGTCTGGCTGCTAAGCAACGGATTTATGACATCAAAACAGAGTTGTAAAAGTAGGATCCTGGTGCCAACTCTGGATAGTTCCCATTGAAAAGAAATAGCTGCGAACACATTTCTCTAGGTCTTAAGAGATCTGATTTCCCTGGGATAGGAGAGCTCAGATCATTTCTCCTCTAGCCCAGAATGTGTTTTCCACATTCTGAAGTATTAGGTGGAGATTAACTTTGCATTTTTGAAGTATGCTCAAGTGCATGCTGCCTAAGGGTCTCAGAGTATTTTTCTCAGCTCCTTAATTAATAGCACTCTTTTAAATGAGGTGCATGTATGCATAACACACATGCTTTTCAGATATTTGGTTCTCATCCAGTTTGATGTATATACCAGAAGGCCAGCCCCAAACTAAATGGCAACTGCTTTACTAAAAGTGTGATTCTGCTTGGTGAGGAGGCCAGAGAGGGCCCATGCAAAATACTTTCCATGTGTGGACCAAATAAGAAATAAGTGTTATTATGATACTTATGAGCAATAAGATAGACTGTTCATTGATTTCTCCTTTGCGTTCATCTATTTAAAATATACTGGTAGGTTTCAGAGCTTGGAAAATAGGAAATGTTAGCTACCCAAAACTAAAAACAAATCCAGAAAAAGCAACAGACATCATTTAGAATCACTGACTAGTTTTCCCTTTTCCAGGGAAGCAATTAGGAAAACGGCGGGGCAGGAGGTAAGACGTAACAGTCTTCTATTAATTTTTATTTATTTTTTAAAAAGTATGGAATGTGCATTTGCATTTAAAAAGGAAAGTGAAGCATTAAAATGACCTACTCTTTGGAGCAGTTTGCCTACAAAAGTATTTTTCCCTTTGTCTTTACAGAACTTCCTTCCATAAACTCTCTGGAGCCTCCTTCTTGGCAGCCTCTTGTGATGTAGCAAAGCAAGAAATCCAGACATGGAAAGTTGCTCAAAAAAAAAAAAGAACTTGGAAACCAAAGAAGAAAGAAATAGTTTTACAGGAGAACTTCACACTGAAGGCTGCAAAACGAATGTTCTTCCGTTTCAAAGGTGAATGTTGTGCAGAGAAATGAAAGGATGTTTCCCGGAGATCAGTTCATGAGGAGACAGATTTTCCATGGTGCAGAGCACTGTGTCCTGCCGGGTTCTCCCTAAGCTGCTGCCCTCTGCTGTCTTTGTTTACTTGTGGTTTACATTTATGTCTACCCCAGAAACCACAAGTGTTTCTCCACTCCAAATTTATCAACACGTTTTCTTCATGCCAGGGTACCTTAGTGAAAAAAAAGGGGGAATTTGGTAGTGGAGCTCTGTGATTCTAAAACCTCCTGCAAGCCACCATTGAATTTCCTATCCTAGCTCTGGTTGCTCCATTTCGTTCCAAGGTTTTGCATACTCTTTCAAAGTTTCTAATCCTTCATCTATACTGGGTGGATCTCAAACACTTAAAGAATGAGCTTTAAAAGTCATTTACCAGGTATCTGAGAGGCACAACTTAAAACTACCAGTTAGAGAAGAGTCGTGCAAACTGAGGCTCAGAGCTGAGCAAGCCAGGCTCAGAACCAGCCCAGACTTTGGTGTCTGAATGTCACACTCACATGGTGTCTGATGATTGTGCAAATAGAGATTGTGCAAATAGAACCTCTGGGCCTATAAAGATCAATGTTTTTCCCTTTCGGTCACCGTCTTCCTTAAAAGAGGAAATCCTGAGAAAACATTCTGCCCCATGTCTTAACTCTTTGCCCAAGATCTTTCCACACTGGAGCTTCAGAAACATTCATCCCAAACACAAAAAATGTAAGCTGAGTGTGACCTTTCACTGAGCAGGCAGTGCTGGCGGTGCACTGGGCATCCAAGCCAAAGGCGTTACCAAGAAACCTCACAAGATTGGGTTTCTAACCAAAGAACCTCACAAAATTGGGTTTCTACATTCTCCTCACCCTCCTGCATTCCTTCCTTCCCAGGAATGAGATTCCAACAGGGTGGACATGCAAGAACCTCATCCGGAAGCCAGACTGAATAGAGTCCTTTCTTAGGAAACTCTTCCCTTAACTGAATGTGGAAGAGGTTTAAGTACGAATGTATAAACATCACAAAGGAAGGTGATGGATAAAAATGACTACAATGGGTGGCCCATCAAGCCCATTCCATAAGTTGAACAAAGTTCTATTTTCCCCGATTTCCAAGACAAACTTGCTTTTCCCCTTCCCCACTTAGCTATCTTCATTTCCCCGAGCATTCTAGTCCCTTCTTATCCTATTGATGCATCCATGACACCATATCTTGGACTAGAGATATCCTGCCTGCCTGCTTGCCTGATTGATTGATTGATTGATTGATTGATTGTCTAAGCAGCTCTGGTTCTTTAAGGCCTGCCTGCCTGCCTGATTGATTGATTGATTGATTGTCTAAGCAGCTCTGGTTCTTTAAGGCAGGGGTGGCTGCTGGGGTTACCCTGAATACAGGAGCAGAGGGGGTGTCCTGCAAGAAGCAGGTCAGCATATCCAGAGTGGCAGGTGGTTTTCGGAAGACGCCAGCAACCAGTATGGCTGTCCCACGGCCCGACCTCCGTCCGCCCGGCTGGACCTACCTGGCGAGTAAAGAGGATGGCGGCATCGTAGTGCTCCTCGTGGTCGTCCCCCAGCTGGTTGTGCTGGTGCTGCCACTTGCAGAAGTTCTTGAGCGTGGTGGCCGCGTTCTTGCTCACCTCCAGGCTCTTGTCCTTGTCGCCCAGCACCACCACCTTCACCACGGCCAGGCGGATGTGGTTCTCGATGCTGGCGTGGCTGTACAGCCGGTTGGCGATGGAGGCCAAGGTCAGCAAGTAATGCTGCAGGCCCCGGCCGTACAGCCGCGCCATGGACGCGTCGGCCACCAGCAGCAGCTCCACCTGGCGGGCCCGGGAGATGGAGCGGCGCCGCCGCCGCCACCAGGTCTGTGGTCCCTGGTCCCCCTCCGACGGCG